GTCACTTTACAGCTTCCTTAGGTTGCTCATAGCTGCAGAAGATGTCCTGAGAGGGAGAGACAGAGCAGAACAGCCACATGCCTTTTGGAAAAATTTAAAGTAGTTTCCAGAACAGTCTCTCACCTATTCATGTAGAGCAATTTGTGAGTGGCTGGGCTGCCTCAGGTGTCTCTTGGGAAGAGGAGTGGCAATCACCAACCACATTACAGTGGAGCAACAATGGGAAGTGAACCTCTGTTCAGAGAGTGAAAGACTGAGGATGTCTGAAAGCCTGCATGCTCATGCTCATGTTCCCAAGTTATCCAGGAGAATCCATTTATTTGACTGCAAAACTCATGAACCTACTCAGTCTGAGCTTGTGTAGTTACAACAGGTGTTAATGTGTGTGGATCCTATTTCCTATCTGGCAATATTTTTAACTTGGAATATGAGTATGAAGAGAGTTAGTGAGAAATTGACATCTTTAGCACAAAGTGCCTGGAAGCATAAAACCATGTAGTCTTAAGTCCTCCTAGAAATGCATTTTTTCAACTGCTATTTTTATGAATTACTTGTTTCTGTGCCATTTATGGTCATTTCCTTCCTTAGAAATGTTATTTTGCAGTTGTTTAGTCCACAAAGCACAAACCTTCTCTGGCTTCTGCCTTAACTAACCAACCAGTATAAATTTCTCTTGAAATTCACAGCTGTCTTCAGTGAATGTGAGTAAATGAGCCTGCCAGGTTGAGCTGACTCTAAACTTTCTTGTCTTTGGGATGCAAATCTTTGTAAGTATATTTAGGTCATCTCTATTTGATTTTCATGGGACATGGGGGAAAGGGAAGAAACTTCTTCTTCCATAAAGGAAAGAAAATGAAAAGATGGGCTTTAAATGACTCTTTTCAAAGTCACTATCAGAGTCATCACATTCCATTCAAGAACCCAAGGATGCTGGGCTTCTGTTATTCTTGTGTTTGTGTGAGAAAAAAGTTTTCTCACCATTGTGTTCATCTTTCACCTGTGATTTAAACCATATTGAGGTTGTGACTGGTAGGTGTCATAAGAGACTCATGTGCAATCTAGTCATTGGTTCAAATTCCAAAGCCAATCTGCTGGTACTTAGATGTTTTTAATGCCTGACTGAAATTGTTCATAAAATTCCTCACCACTTCTCATATTCTTTACCTTCCTGGCCTGGATAGCCAGCAATCTGCTTCTTTTAAAATAATATTTCCCTGACACAAGGTCTCAGAGCACCACTTAAAACTATCCAGCTCATATTTAATTCATATTTGGATTTCCCCAACTGGAGATGCTTAAGTATATATTATGGCCAGCAAACTGGAACCCCTCAGATATCCAAGAGCTGGATAAATAACTCTCAAAAACATAGGACATAAAGTATTTGCTGTACCTCCTAGTCATCCTCCAAATCATAGGCAGAGGCAGAAACAGGATAAAAATCAGTGCAGTGCTCAGAAAGTGCAGCATTTCAGACATGATCATCCTTAACACAAATCCCTCTTTACTTCTGGTTTATATAATAATTTCTTCCAACTTTATGGCAGAGTCACACACCTGGCCTGCCTTAATGTAAATGAAAAATCAGACTTTGATGTGTAGTATCGTAAAAGTTCTATGGTAAAATTTAGTTGTAAATTTTGTACATTTTATTGTAAAAATGTAAGAGTTTTCACCTTGACAGATGATAAAATGTATAATGCACTGTGTGCAGAGGGTTGGTGCTGGCTTTGCAGAGATGGGAACCAAAGCTGATACCATCCAGCAGTCTGTCTGTCAGACTTTGTAAAAAAGACATATTTTAGGGTGTTTCTGGGTAATAAGGTCTCCTGAGTTCTTTGCAGCTGGATTTCTGTGATCATGTTTTCAACAACATTGAAAGTGCAGATGGGGGAGGAGAAATGGGTGCAATTTTCATTAGCAGGTGGGTTTATTAAGGAGCTATTATTAGGCACCAGTTCTTCCCAAATGAAGATACCATTAAAAATGTTGCTTATGGCATTAAAGGTAAAACTGCAGAACTAACTGCAACCAAAAGATTTAAAACTTCAAAAGCTTTTTAAATATATGTTGCTTAATTCCAGAGAGGATCATATGGAGAATACAGCTGGATTGAGATCATATAAAGGATTTCTTAACTTGTGGTTGGGATGACTTGCATAATCTACTTGAAAGTGCTGTTTGTGAGCAGCAGGACCATGGCAGAGCATGCTCCAGAAACTCAAACGAGTGTAAGAAAGTGAAGATTACTGATGGCAACTGGAACTAAATATCATAAAAAGTTATTTGATTGAACAGTGCTGTGACAGAATTGCACTGCAAAATGTGAGGACTCTGCTTAGTCTTTTCCCACATCTTAATGGAGAAGAGTTATAAAGATTAATTATTTAGGCAACAGCCTGTATATTCCACTTCTTAACCAGTGCTTACAAGATTAAAGAAGTTTTCTTCACCTGAAGACATTTACTGAAGTGGAAGAACAGGAGTTTTATGAGGAGTGACAGCAAAATTTTATCTCTGTGCCACATTCCTCTACTGTTCCATGTGTTTAGTCTTGCCCAGTTTAATACAACAAGCTCTCCCTGATTTCAGGATTGCATTTTTTAGCACTTAGCCAAATCAGAAACCATGGTTCATATTTCATATTTATCTTTCACATTCTGACATGACAGAAGTTTCAGTTGGATACCAATTGCTGTGATCAGAAGTGTGCTTTCAAATATTTTTAAATATTTTATAGATTAGCACCCAAAAGGAGGCAGAAACCTAGAAGAAAAGTAACTGCTACCTCAACTTCTTTTCTGTGACTGCTGATGAATTAATGATTATCCTTTTACATCTCTTATGCCAATAGCAGGCATGAAAGGCTATAACATCCAGGATACCCAAAAATGTTAGAAAAGGGAGGTCACAGTGGAGTCCTAGGTGCAATGAGCAGGGACCAGTGATTGGGAGAGGGGGAATTGTGAATCACCTGTTAGGGCAGGGATTAACTCATCTCCTGGGAGCATCCTACGTTATCTGCAGGCAAGGGGAGCAAGGAACCACTGCCTGGGGATCTTTCTTTTCCTACTTGTTGAATGTGAGCCCACCAAATAGTCAAAATGTGTAGGTATGTGTGCATATACATGTGTGTGTATACAGAGAGATGGGGTAGGGGAGAGAGGGAGAAAGTAAACACATGGTTGATATATTTGGATTTGTATAAGGGTAGAGAAATAAAAAAAATTGTTTGATTTCAGAATGACAGACTAAACAAAACAAAACAACAACAACAAAAAAATACACACAGCTGTTCCTCCTAAGAAGGAAAGGGAGAGAAAGGTATCCACAAGCCCAGTCCACAATAAGCTGTTTATTCACCAGACCAGCTGTTATTTAACTGTCTCTGAAGTATTGAGAGCTCTTGGAATCCTCTGAAAATCAAAAGGTTTGACTTATCTAGCTCAGACACAGTACTTCCTCATCTTTCTCCTTCAATAGAGCTTCCATTTGACATTTGTTTTGTTTTGTTTTGTGCCTTCAGTTTCAATATTTTGGAAAGAAAAGCAGTCTGGAGTTAAGTGGAGTACAGAGACTGATTGATCTTCTTCAAGCCTCTAAAGCTATCTTCAATGTCTGTCATATTAGTGGGATAAAGAAAGGCACAGTGCTCCACGGGACTGGTTTTTGGTTTTTCTGGGCTGTGCTCTGAAATAATTTCTCAAGGATTTAACTAGATGCTGAAACAGCAATTTAAAAATTCTTTGCTTTGATCTGAAATACCTGATAAAAACACCTGGATTTTATGGAGTCCCCCTGTCTATGTTTCTATTATTTTTATTTCCTTTACCAGCCTTAATGGCTCTACTTTATTTATCTTTTGTGGTGCATAGGTAATAAATGTTGGGCTACAGATGAAGACAAAATCCCAAAGTGATTTGGGCAAAAGCAAAAAAGCAACAAAGGAAGAGTGGAGAAAAAAAGCAATAACCTGAGACCAAATGTTATTTATGCTTTTACAGTGTTTAAACATCTATTTAACAAATATCAGCTGCAACCCAGCTGTAATTTTGCCCTGCTGTTAGCCAGTTGCAAAAGCTCAGTCCCCTATTCATTGTTAGCTATTGAAATAGGACTCTGAGATAAGAACAAAGACATTTTCAAAAATTTGTTTATTAGTAAAGGCCGGTGCCTGTCCTGTATGTTACTATAGACTGTACTTAAAATCCACAAGAAATTGTTCCCCCCAGTCCAAGCTGCTCACCCATGCAATTGCTACCTGAGATCTCTGGAAGTTCCAAACTGTCATTCTTTCCTCTCTAAACATTATCCCCACATTCCTTTGTAATTTTACTCCTAACAGTGAGCACAATGTCCCAGCAGCATTAGCAAGGAGCCAGGGGTAGCACCAATGGCTTTGCCATTTCTTTTTGACATCTTCAAGCTATTTTGAATCAGTGGTGCTGTGTCTTGCAGTGTGGAGCCCACAAAGGCTGCAGTGTTTTCTTCTTGCAGTTATTAGTTGGCCTGTGACAGTGACATTGATGTTGTGGTGGCAGACACATGCAAATTGGAAATTAATATACTGAGCTTGATAGTTACAAAAGAATTTAAAAGTCAGATCATCCAAACTCTATTACATCATTTAATAAAAACTGAGTGGAAATATCTAAGAAGAATGAGAAAACATTGGATTACCTTATTTAAATTTGATACTTAATGAAAACATAAATTTTTAAACCCATGGAGATATTAACTAAATTAACCAGAATTATTTTAAAGGTTCAATTTACTCAGCTTGATCATCAGTCAAGGCAATCTCTATTTAAATTGATGGAGCTATGTCATTGTACATAGCTTGAGCTCTTCATCATGATAACTTTTCTAAGCATAACTGCTTTTAGAGCTTGAGGGTGTTTTTTGTGACAGCTACATACGTGTTTTTCCAATGACTTAAGAACCATAAAACCACATTTAATATATTAAAAAGAAAAAAAAAAGCACTTATGATAACTTACCATTCTGTAAAGTTTATCCTCCAGATCCTGATTAATTCTTTGTAAGGCTAGGTAATTGTTTTGTATCCTAAAACAAAGATGATATCATGTAACTGAATGCATTGCTTTTCATGTTTTTTACCTGTATTTCACATCAGTACAAAACCTTGGCTTGCACTACTTGAATTCTATTTGCTTATCACTCCTGTTACCAGTCAGTGGTTGCCTTTGAAATGCAATTACCACCTGCTTCCTAAGCAAACTTCCAAACTTCTTTGTCATATTTTCCTACTATATTTAGCAGCAAATTCCAGCAGGAAGTGAAGATAGTGTTGGTCATTCTGCACTTGTGTGCAGACACACATTACAGCCTAGGAACTTGCACAAGGTAATTATAGTTTTACATCAGGCTCAAGAATAGTATGTAAGAGAGGAAGCTTGAGCTCTAGGCTTAGGCAGCACAAAAAAAGATTTATTGTGAAATAGCAGCAGAATCCTAATGACTATAGCAACATGTGGGCATCAACATGTGACTTAGAAGAGAATATTTCTTCTTTCAACAAAAGTTCAAGAAGTTGCCTATTTTTTCCAGGAAGTATATTTAGATAGCTTAGCTGAGAAAAGATGGGTATTTATTTTTATCAGCACTTAGGGATTGAATTAACTCACAAAATGAGGCTTCCCTACTTATTCCAGAGCAACACACCAAAGAAAAGTTTCAGCCTGCACATCTTTATGTTACTTTGATGGTAACCTTGGTATTGTAATCAATAAGCTGCACATCCTGTGGGAAAACCATTGGTATTTTGGTAGTAGCTGTGGCTTTCTTTCTGCAGAACCTGAGGAGGATAGGTCCTTGTTCATTAGTACCCCTCATCTCAGCATAATGTCTAACAAATGTAAAGCAAATGTTAGAAGCTCAGCTGTGAAAAGCTATATGACTGTACTGATCAATAGGTCAAAGCATTTTCAGCAGTAAGGAGATTTTAGGTAATGTGCAAGTGTTTTCACTGTAAAAGTGAACTCAGATGTAATCCACATTTATACAGCAAAATGCACTTCCTCTGAGAAGTCTGGATCTGGGTGTATTTTTTGTGGTTATCAGGATGGGACTGGGATTAAAGAAGTCTCTTTGTTTATCATTTGGTTAGGAGTGGCTGCTGAAACTGGAATGAAGATCTGTTTTCCAAACGCCATAGCTGCGAATCAAAGGGTCCAGCCCACCCCTTCTTGGCAATGTGATGCTTATCTCAGCTTCTGTTGCCATGGAGATTATCTTTCCAGTTAAATGATCAGAATTCAGGGTGGGCCAGTGGCTTGCAGTGCCCCTCTTAAAGGATGCAGAGCTCTGGCTGGGGCTCCCAGCATTGCAATAACATCTGCTGCACGGACCTGAGAGGGGATGTCTGTGCCAAGGACATCTGCTCTGTGGATATAAATAATGACATTCCCATGGGTGAACCTCCTCGGGGTACCAAGGGTCAGCCCACAGTCAGGACAGTCATTTCCAATATGCATTGCAAGCCTGGGGGAAGTCTCAATGTTGCCTACATTTTACAGAGCTCCTGAGCAGAGATCTCCTTCCTGGGAGGAGGATCTGTGGTAAATAGTGTTTGCTAAAGTGGTGACCCAAATGGGCTAAAAATCTCTGAGACTTGTACTGTGAGGCTTGGTCAATACTCCCCAATTCTCCTAGTGCTATTGTGCTTGTGTCCAGGTGACTTAAAGGATTGACTGAATCCAACAATTCTCTGCATTGTCCATGCTCCTCACAGCATTTACCACTAAGCCTCTCTATAGACATCGATTTGTGCAGCTCTAGGTTTACCTGGGATTTTCCCAGCCATTGTACTGTCAACACAACAGAGACAAATCTCAGCGTACTCTGTACCCATCTTTTTGTGGTACAGAGGAAAGCAGAAATGATCTTAATACAAAGAGGGTTGCCTGCAGCTATTTAGCACAAATATTTTGTTCTGCCGGGAAGGATGCATGCCATGATGCAGGAAGAAGAGATTTAGAGAAGTAAAATGGTGCCTTCTGGCTGAGCCCAGAAGTGCCCCAGCATCTTCTCTGTCATGCTTTATATTTTTTGTCTAGTAAAGCACAATATAACAGGTTAAACTTGCTTTGCACCCAGACAGTTTGTGGTTCAAGTGGAGGTGGTATAAAAGCTGATTTAAACATTAGCACCTGCAATGCCCTAAAAGTTTGCATGGGTTCAAAAGCACTTGCATAACTTCCTCAAAATAAAGGGGAGAAAAAAATTTGGTTCAGGGCTTTTCTGGCCCAGGTGCCCCTGAACCACAGGCTGTTCTGCAGTGGTTACTGATGTGGACAGCTCAAGGGAACACTAAAGGTTCCCTTCCCACAACTTTGAGACCATGAATTGAAACAGCAGTGATTGCTGCTTGGATAGCAGACTTATCATGGCAACAGTGGGTTTGCTCCTCAGCGTCTGTTTTCAGTTTTTCCTCTTGATATGGAAGATTGAAATGTTAATTATCTTTAATTATTTTTCAATGACAACACTTCCATGCCATACATAGTTGTAGAGGGTTTTGCAAGAGTTTATCACAATCTGCTTCTCGCTTTGTAGCTTCTTTTGCCTTTGCCCATCAAATTTTTGCCTGTTGTATGTTTAGGAGAAAGTAGCCCACAAAATCTGGCTCCTTAACACATTCATTTTGCACTGAGAAAATGACCACCTCCCAGTACAGTTAAATCAAATCTAAAAAAAATCCATGGTAAGTAGGAAGCTGAGCTTCAAAAAATGTTTCTATTGAGAACAGTATGCAAAGGTAGTCAAAATAAGCACAAACACATATACATGTACATAAGCACATACACATGCACGTATATGCATAAACCCCAAATTGGAAATTCACTGTGCCAAAAGAAGTGTCAGCAAATGTAGGTGGCAAGGAGAGAAATGGACCCAGAAATACATGGAAGAAAGTGTTAAAAGGATAAATGAGGAACAGAGTCAGATCAATCTTTAAGCAAAACTGTAAGATAAAGGGAAGGGGAAATAAAGAGCAGGGAAAATTATTCAAATTTGAAAATGATCTGATGAGAAAATGGTAAGTTAACCTTGTTTTCAAAAAAAATACACCCAGATAGCCTGAACATTGTGAAATATGAAATATTTTAACCTTGTAAATCTGGCTTTGAAAACAAAACAAAGGATAGGCTTTACTATGCTGCAAAACTGCTATAAGGATAAACTCATGTGAAGTGATAATCTACCCTCAAGTGTTGATGTATTTTTGTGTTGTTCATGTCATTAGGAGACACTCATGTGACTTCAGGTGCACATATATGCATCCATTAAACAAATGTTTAGATTCCTGACCAAATAAGGGCCTAATGAAAAATATTCTGACCATATTGAACACGTCAGGTGTCTGTGCTCTAACCCACCATACAACAACTCCTCTCTACGGCTGCAGATCACCACTCAAGAGGGAGTCTGCAAAAGCCTCTGTTTCTCTGTTTCCATGCAATCTCAAGCCCTCTTAAGGCCATGAAATACATCTAAAGTAAAACTTAGTCTTGGGCTGACTTTCTTTAAAGAAAATGATTTCTTCTAGAGTGTTAGCTTTGAAAAGTGACTCTTGAAAGAGTAGCTTCTTGTTAAAAAAAATTCTCTCTCTGTTATCACAAGTTATACCAACATCCTTATGAAAACAATAGTTTTTCCTCCAGGATTCCTGTTCAGAACACCCCTTCAGTCTGTGAAATGCTTTTGGTGAAATAATTATATGTGTGGGCTAATCTCAGTGCTAAATATATGCTTGTATGAGTTTACTTCTCTCATGCCTTAAAATAACTACTTTCTGTTAAAAGATAGAATGGGATTAAGTTGTTACCCAAGGCAGGGTCTCAAGGAAGAAACCCAAAGTGAACCTTGGAGTCCAGATGTGGAATCCAGATTTGGATTTTGAATTTTTTTAGATTTTAACTTAGAAAAAGCTGTGCTGACCATGTCAGGTAAGGGACCACTGTGAGGAACATGAAATCCCCTCTCTTTTCAGTCACTTTTCAAAGCTGAACCTATGCTTTACAGTTACTATTTTCGAATCTAGTTAGCACTGTTCTCCCACAGAGAAAAAATAAAGAGGCCATCTCTAAATGTTTGTAGAGAGGTTGAAAACTTGACTATTGAGGCACATAAGTGACCTCCTCTCTTGAGTAGAAGTGGGGAGGCCTAGCAACAGCACAGGCAGTTCTAGATAAATCAAGACAAAGACTTTCAGGAAGGATTACAAAAGGATAATCATTCAGCTGCTTGGAAAAAAGAATTGCACTTCACAGAAAAGGAAATTTAATAACAGAAATGTTCTCCAGTGTATGAGAGGGATCTTGTTACACAGGGCCTATTCATTTATGGGGGGGATGAATTTCTCTCCCTGTTCAGTGAATAAAGGAAGAGACACATAATTGAAACTAATTCTACGTTGTTTTTCTCACATTGATTTTCCTCTGTGACATGTTGCTGACAAGCTTTTGGATGACAGGTTTTTTTCAGACATTATTCTTCTCCAGGCTGACAAATCTAGATGTTCAACTTTCAGGATGCCTTGCTATTCTCAATAGAAACATTTTTAAAGCTCACCTCGTAAAATATTTTTGGCTTCCATTATGATATGTCTTCAGGGGAGTAATCACCTGCCTGAAACATAATTTTTAATATAAGTTTTCTTCATAATATGGTACAATGTTCCATTAGAATACTGGAAAGTCATTTCTGCTAATGTGATGTTCTGGTATGAGTGCTAGACTTGGCTTTGAGCCCTTGGCCTGAGTTTCAAAGGGTGCTTAACTCATTGATGCCCAGTGCAATTGATAAGAGGCTTTCTCCTGACTAGGAAGCCCATCTGTTTTAACAGAAGTGGGATGCTCAGCCCCTCTGCTGCTTTGTGGCAGCTGCCCAAATTGATGCTTCAAGAGAAAAGAGTACCAGTGTTCCCTTTCCTGGAATGAAATGAAGCAAAACTATACTAAGAATGAAGTTACTTTTAGTGGCTCTGCTCTAAGTGAAAAGATAGGAAAAATATTGTTGACAAGAGAACTATATGGAGAACCTCCAGACTGCTCCTGATAGATGTGTGTAGATTTCAGAATCACCACGACACCTGTATATTTTAATTTCATTTTGAGAAGCATCCCCAGTTAGAGAAGCATTTAAGTTATAAGACCACACTAGGCTGTTTCCTAAATTGAGATCTTACAGACTCGTTCTGTTTAAGATTTGAATAAAATGATTTGGTTGACTCAGCTTATTGGTGGTTTCTGTCATTGTTTAGGTTTGGCTTTTGCCTTCTGCAAGGAATGAAAAATATTTCTTTGGGTATTGCCCTGGAATGATTTATTCTGTATTTCATTTTGAGTCATCCAATGAATTAATCAAATAGTTCCATTAAGATATCAGTTTAAGAAAGTCTCACAAGACATGCAAATACATTCCTGCATAAGTGGATAATTCTACTTTCAGAAGTTTTGATAACAAATGAAAAAATGGATATAAAGAATCATGATAAATTTTAGGCTAAATCTACAGGCCATTTTAATCAGTGTCAGGAACATAAGGAGTGCATGCTTAACATAATTTATCATTAACATTAACTAGGTTCCCGATTTTCAACAGCACTGTACCACAGCTACAACAGTTTTAAATAACAGCTTTTCAGCATCATTCCATTCTGCTTGAGACTAAAAAGGAAATTATTTGCTATACTATAATGCAAAATGCCTTAATATTATTTCAATTGAACACAGTCTCAACTTTGAGTGAGGGAGAGCCAAATTCTATTCTCTTGCATCAGCAAAATGAAGTCTAAACAAAGAAAATGGGCAAAGTCATTAAAAAAAAGATTTATCTGTATATACACAGTATAAATAATATATGTATATATATGCATTGGGTTTATAACCTTTATATGTGTAATGCCATATGGCACTACTCCACATGTATGTTTATACATAAATAAGGACATATTTGCACATATATAGGTGTATTTTTATTTGCATATTTGCTTTTAGTACAGAGGCATTTTACATATCACATGTAAATAATTTCATGTGACATGCAATATATATTCAGGTAAATGAAATCTATATATCAAATACAAAACACAATGCATAATCAATAAATCATAAATCATGCATGTTTGCACCTGTGTTTGTTTTTACTTACATACGTCTTTAATACAGTCATTTAAAAAATTCTAACAACTGTTTATTTCAAAAAGTTAATTACTAACCTTCTCAGTTTTTCAGTTACTTTTTCAAGTTCCTCCTGAGCTCGTCTCAATTCTATTTCAAGATACTGACGTGTAGAATCAAACTCGGTTTCAAGCATTTCCAGCTTATGTGTCGTGTACGATAGGCGCTTTCGTAATTCCCCCTTCTGTTCCTGCAAAGTACTAGAAAAACAAAGACCACAGCTGTAGAATTTAGCTGCTCCCAAAAAGCTTTTCATGATCCACTCTTTGACCAGTTCCCTAGAGTATAGCTTGGCCTCAAGCCAGAAAAGTGTGCTTAATTTGTTTACTGCACTTTGAAAATCTTCTGATTCAGACAGCTGACTATCTTCCATCTGTCCTTTCTGATGCATTTATTGCTACTATCTCATTATCCAGAATGGAATATGTTGCAAAAGAATCTTCATTGAATTAAAATACAAAACATGGTCTGGAGTTTGGTTTCACACAGGATCTTCCATTTAGAATTATCTTACCATACTATGACTGAAGCAGCAGGTCTCCATAGATCAGCTACAATAAACTATGCAAAAATATTTCCTTGCCTAAAATCCAAATTACAGTTCTGTGGAGGAAGAATTTTTTGTCTTATTTGATTCCTTTTTCACCCCAATCATTGCCACAGAGATGCCAGAGACCTTATTGTGCAGTATTTCATCTGGAGAATGGTAATCTACTAATAGTATCACAGTTTTAAGGTTGTAGATCTTTCCCTTTTTCCCACACTTATTTGGGAGCCAAGACTTTCCAGACTCAGGTGTAATCCCTACTTTTTTACGGTTCTTTCTCTAAAAACCTTATGCCCTGATTGCAAACTATCTTCAGTTACAGTCTTAAACAAAATAAAGCACGAGACTCAAGTGAGCCACTCATCATATCCCTTAATTCTAACTGCACAATGGAGATTTTGGTATCTTTTTCTAGTTAGTTTGCAAGCTCTTCAGTCTTTTAGCATGTTTGCCAGTTGAACAGCAGGATGGGATTCCTGCCAGAGCTGGGATCTCTGGAGATAACTGGAACTTGGTTCATATACTGCAACCTCAGTGTGGAGCTGATCTCTCTGCTCCAGGTGGGACCTCGGAGGCACTGTGGGACTGGGGTCTGCCATCACCAAGACACAAAGTGCTACCACAGGATGCATTGTGAATTGCCTTGCTTTTTTTTTAATCATACGGTAAAAATAGTTCTTCATAAATGAATGGCAAATCTTGATTCCCTTTGATGTCAAGTGAGTGCTGCCATCAGCCGCACCAGAATAATGTTTTGGGTCTTTAATTAGACAAGAGAGTTGGGAACAACATGTCAGTCTTCAAGGAACACTTATCTGAGCTGACTACAGCGTGACTGGCTTTTCCTCTTCAAGCTGTGATAGGAGCTCAGTAAGTTAATGCAAAAGCCTTACAATTGCTGCTTGCTTGATCCATGCAGAAACAGCCTAATGTTTTGCCAACACGGCGCTCTATTTCAATTGCACATACTGCGTGGTTACAGTTATACTTAGATTACCACTTGTGGTTATATTCTCTTAAAATAATATATTCTAATTCAGACGTTTAATGCAGCTCCACTTAATATAACCATTTAATTTTTATATTTCACTTGGTGAATTAAACTCTGAAGTTATCCAGGGAGCTGAGAACCGATGCTGCTCATTTCTATGTGTCCTCATTGATGATATTACCACATCATACCACCTTTCACTTGCTCTGCTTCTGGCCTGTTCTTGCTACTACTCTGCTCAACTTGGCAAAGAAGAGCGGTCAGTTTTCCTTTCTGTAGCCTGGAAACTCAGATTTTCTTCTGTGAAGTGGCAGTTACAGTGTCAAAACTGTTTAGAGTGAAAAGAGATATGATCGCAAGTCTTCTGCTGCTCTAAAAATCTAACCACTAGGATTTGGATGAGAAACAGACAGTAGGTCCTCCTGCTATGATTTTGGATAAAATGCCCAGGCTGAGGCTGCTGGACAAATACAGTTAATGCAAGTTAGGCCAGATCAGGGAAGGTTAGAGCATCCTCCTGCACTGGAAAGTTTTGGACACAGGGAGCATGACCTTTGTGACGGAGAGGAGCTATTGGGGTACAAATACAGTGGTAGTGCCAGGAATGTTTAAGTTAGTAATAGCTGGAGACTGCTTAGTAAAAGAGGAAAAAGAGAAAAGTTAATCACCTCCAATAACTTTGTTTTCTGCTTCCTTGTGTAGGTACTTCTTGCTTTGGGTCTCAGTTGTGAGAAGATTAAGCAGGAGCAAAACTCCAGACTTCTCAAATGAAGTTGTTTCTGTATAGACCAGGGTGGCTAGACCTGTCTATGTGGGGAAATTTGGGGTTAAAATCTGAGTTCTGTGTAAAGATTGATCCTAAAGTGGAAGTCAGTGCTGGTCTGAGATGCAAAAATGTGCTTTCAGATTCAGATCTGGACAGTTTGGTAGGTTTTGGCAGGCTGAAGCTTATGCTAGAAGGATAAACTTCCACTTTCTCCCTTGAAGTTCACTTTGAAGTATTTGTATTCTTGAATTCTTAACTTTCAGAATAAGATTATTCAATTCATTAAAATCAAGACTATTCTAGTGAGGTTTATTGAAGCAGTCTGTATACATGGACTCTTCCATATGATGTTTTGGGTAGTAAACCATAGATGTAACTTTGTTCAAAAAAAAGAAAAATACTCCACTGATTAAAGCTTAATTTAGGCAGCTTCAAAGATGAAAGTTATTCTCAACCAGCAAACCATAATTCTGAAAAGATCTACTAATTTTCAGCCATTCTGGAAAGATGGGGTTACATTTTCAAACTCTCCCACACCAAGGAGAATCCCTCCTCACTGTGTATTTTTAGTCATCTGATACATGTTAAAACAGCTGATTGTTTTAAGAGGACATATATATTTTAGATAGGAGATAATCCCTGATTTATGATGGGATTATTTTGAAAACAATAGAAGATGCATAACATTGAGTCTTTATTAAACTAGATGGAGAGGCAAGAATTTTAGAAGTAAAGAAATTATGTTCTGACACTAATATGCTGAGTTGCAAAAAACTTATAGTCACTATTATGGAATAAGGAAAAAGAAAGAGAGAGAGAAAAGAGTTGGGAAAGTGTTAAATCATCTGCTTTAATATCCATCTTGAGTCAAGAAAGGTCTGGAAAGATAGCTAACTTTAAGCAATGGCACAATGAAGCTTACACTTGTGAATGGCACAATGGGGAAATTTTCCCCAATCTTAGACTGTAACCATCGAATGGGTACTAATAGCTGTAACACTGAGAGCAGATTTCCCGGGATTCCCAAGATGGCTTTGACTTTTGCATGATCTGAGCCTTATCTAGACGCATTACTAGTTTGAGGTACTGTTGTTTTCTCTTCATTTTGGTTCTATATGAACAAGCATCTAAGAAGCAAAGGCAAAGCAAGTAAGTGAAACAGCAGAAAGAATAAGAGGATGCAATGTATCAAATTCTGCATCTCTAATAACAGGATGAGAGTCTCAATTTTTGTTTTGTACTAATCTAAGGTATTTAATGAAATTTTTCTTTGTTTTGGTGGTTGGTTTTGTTTTTTTTTTTTCTTATCTCATGAAACAGATGTTCTTTCTCTGGAAACCTTCCCCTTACCATTATCTTCCAGTGCTATCACATAATGACATGCTTGGATTCTAATTTCTTGTGCTGTGTTGTGCTTTTTTGTTCTAGAAATCTGAGATTTTCATGAGGAGGGCTTAATTTTGTTCTGTACCACTGTACATTTGATAGTGGTAATTGAATCAGAGTTGAAAAGAAGGAAAAGATAAAAAGTCAAAACATGGATTCACAAAGTCAACCATTTAGTATTTTCCCTTTTCTTCAATACAACCAACCAACTGCATAAATTATCTGCATTTTGCTTCTGCTTGTCACATACCAGTTAATTAGAAAAGTTCATTGCACAATTTTTTAATGCTACTAAATATCTTTATTTTGATTAATAATTTATATTCCATGGCTAGTTGATTCCCATGGTTCTTTAGTTTTATATACATGTAAAACTAAGAAAATAATTAAACAGAAAAAAAGTACAGCCAGGAGAAAGGATAGGACTTATTTGCAAATTAAAAGTATTCTGGTTGTGCTATGTCTTAGCAATCTGATAATGCTATGTCTTAGAAAACAAAAATCCTATATTCCATGGTCTTCCTAAAACTCTGACAGCTTCAAGGAGTATGGAATTACAGGGCAGGAAAGATCCTGTAGATTATTACACCTTTAGCATAAGGATTGCCCATTTCTTTTTATGATCTCTAATGTTCTGCTCCTGTGACAATCAGTGGTCCGCAAATCATTGCCCACTTTGCTTCATTAAAATGCTTCTTTAACAACAAGGACAGTAAATACAATATTAAATATTTAGACTTGTGAAAGAAAACCTCTCAAGGGAAGCTACTTTAAAGGTTATTAAAAACAGGTCTTTAAACTTTCCAAAGTGTTATTTTCACTGATTAGTTCTGTTTATATTCATAAAAAGTATAAAATAGAGGAAACGTATATTTGCACAGAAATTTGTGCTCACAAACATTATCTGAGCCTGCAGCTGTTGGTCAGGGTTAAGCTGTTGTGCTGGCTGGAGAAGCTCCAGGTGAACATATTCCCACTGGATTTCAGACAAAGCTGAGATGCCACATGATAAGGGTCTATTTTAAGGAAAATGTTCTGGAAAACAAGCAGGTTTTCATTGTACCTGTCTGGTCCTCTGCCACCTCATCTGCCTGGCAGATGGGCTGATGCCAAAGGAGTGCTGGCATGCAAAGTTGGGGATGCTCAATTGCCTGGAGGCCAGAGGATTTTTGGAGCCTTCTACCTTCAGGTGGCCCACAAAGAGGGTGCTCCCTGAACCTTTACTCCATAGGAATTGATGTCTATGGGTCTGCCCCATCAGTGGAGCATTCCAGCAACCCCACACCTCCCCCTCACTGGTCAAAGTGCTTCAGCAGCACTTTCCATGTCTGCCTGCCTCCCCAGGGCTCTGCCTTTAGATGGTTCTACAACGCTGTTTAAAACAAGAGCAAACACTTTTTTTTTGTAGTAGGGAAATTCTCTCTGAACTGACTGATTACATTCCTTCACACTGCTCCTGAAGTGAGTGAAAAAAATATTTATTAATGGTATTAGGAGGGAAATTAGCAGA